GACAGGGTTTCACCATGTTGACCAGGATGGTCTCGATCTCTTGACCTCGTGATCCACCCGCCTCGGCCTCCCAAAGTGCTGGGATTACAGGCTTGAGCCACCGCGCCCGGCCGAACTACCCTCATTTTTTATAATAGAGAATAAAAAATTTTCTAAGATGATAAATGAAAAATATAAATTTCTGTATATTAGTGCTTTCCCACATTGACCACACATTAGAATGGCCTGGGAACTTTAAAAAATTTACCCCAGATGAATTAAATCAGAATCTCTGAGGCTGTGGAATGGCCATCTGCATTTCTGAAGAGCTCTCCAGGTGAATAATGTGCAGTCAGACTTGACAACAACCTTTTTTATTATTTATTTATTTTTGGGGTATGGAGACAAGGTCTCTCTATGTTGCCCAGGCTGGTCTCGAACTCCTGGCTTTAAGTGATCCTCCTGCCTCAGCCTCCCAAAGTCCTGGGATTACAGGCAGGAGCCAGTAACCACGTTAATTAAAGTCATAAAGACGACAACTAGAAGAATGAAAAATAAACTGCTAATAGTGATTGCTTCTGGGGAGTAGAACAAAACAGTTTTGAACTATTTTAATTGTTTTCATCGTGGAAAAGACAGGAAGAAGGAAGACGAGAAGTCCCAACATTGGACTAGAAGAGGGTTATTCAACCTTGGCATGACTGGCACTTGGGGCCAAAGAATTCTTTGTTGTGGGAGGCTGTCCTGTGTATTAAAGAATATTTAGCAGTATCTCTGGCCTCTGAGACTCACTAAATGTCAATAGCTCTCCTCCCCATTATGACAACCAGAAATATTTCCAGATGCTGCCAAATGTCCCCTGGAGGGCAAAATTGCCCCAGGTTGAGAACCACTGGACAAGAAGAATAATCCTGTGTCTTGGTCGGGCAGTTGCTTGAACTGCAAAAAAAGGCTCAAGAATTTGAACTTATACTATGGCACACCATGCAAATTAAAGTGCATTTATTCAGTGCTAGGTCCTTAATTAAAATTAAATCTACACATTTTACTCTGATAACAAGACAGGGATGCATCAGGACTTTCCTTTTGGATGCTCCAAGCTTTGGGATTTACTCTCATTATTAGAATAACAAAATGTCAGAGCAATTATGTCTTTACAGAAAGTTGCAGGACCTCCTGACAAGTTGCCAGGATCTTGCCAATTTCTTTTAAACTTGAGAAAACACTTTGTTACACTGAACAAAACAGGGGTGAGCCAGCCAAACACAACCCTGGGCTGCAGGCCCAGGTTCACTTCAGTTCAGCAAATATTTGAGCATATTACATGTGCTGGGAATAATAACACTAGTAAAACAAAGACTAGATGTTTTAAATGTCATTGAAATGGAGTAGAAATACATCCTTAAAGAGAAGGGTTTGCTCTCTGTACTTGATAGGATTGTATGGAAATGTGATTTTTCTGCACTGCCCAAATGGTAGCCATGAGAAATGTGGCTATCGAGGCATTGATAATTGGCTAGTCTGATTCAAAACGTGCTGCAAACATAAAACACACTGGATTTTAAAGATACAGTATGAAAAAAAGAATAGAAAATACTTCATTATATTTTCAAATTGCATTTTGAAACATTTTGGATATATTGGTTTAAATACAATACAGAGAATCCCTGACTTATGATAGTGCCACTTTCGATTTTTGGAATTTACCACGATGTGAAAGTGATACTCATTCAGTATGCTCCTTGACTTATGATGAGGCTATGTTCAGAAAAACATTTTCAATTTATGATAGCTTTATCTGGACATACTCCATTGTAAGTCAAGGAACATCTATATACTACTAAAATTAATTTTGTCATTTAATTTTTTTTAAATGTGGCTACTAAAAAAATTTAAATTTATTTATTTATTTATGAGACATAGTCTCACTCTGTCACCTAGGCTGGAGTGCAATGGTGCAATCTTGGCTCACTGCAACCTCCGCTTCCCAGGTTCAAGCGATTCTCCTGCCTCAGCCTCCTGAGTAGCTGACTATAGGTGTGCACCACTGTGCCCAGCTAATTTTTGCATTTGTTTTTTAGAGACGGGGGTTTCACCATGTTGGTCAGGCTGGTCTCGAACTCCTGACCTTGTGATCCACTCGCCTCAGCCTTCCAAAGGGTTGGAATTACAGCTGTGAGCTCACATTTTATTTCTAATAGACAGTGCTGTCCTAAACTCTTGATTTTTATGTGGCATTACTGTGAATAATAATGGCATTTTAAATACATTTGGGCCTTCTCCTTATTAGCATTCAGTGGGGGCAAATTCCATTTGAATGCTCAATTGCTATAGCTGTGGTTATATGAAAGTGCTTGGGGCACGGTAAACTAAACTTAATCACTATTGACTTAACATTTACATCCCGGCTTGGCCACATGCTGTGTAATCTTAGCTCAGCATTCAACCTCTTTGAGTCTCAGTTGCCTCTTCTGTAAAATGGCTTGCGTTCACCGCAAACCCAAAATATGTTTTCTGATTGAATGCAAAATAGCCTTAAACTGGGACATGTCTAAACGGATGCCAATCACACAGGGCTTCTGACAATGTATCAGAATAATAACTGATTCTAGCAATATATCAGAATAATAATTCAGAATATGGAAACAGAATAAGGTTTGAGGTCTACAAATGGCATCTACCGGAAATACCTTTTCACCTCGTTTGAATGCTAAAAATAAAGACTTTCTGAGAGGGCTCCCAATAAAACAGTTACCCAGGCACAGTGACAACCAAGAAAACCTTTCCTAAAATCATCACTTTTTTTCCTTGGTTCTTCCTCTTCTCCGCTTACCCTTGAGGAGGGGTATTGGGAGATTAAGAAGGGGAAGAAGGTGATGTGACACATCTTAGAGTTGGAGTGAAGGACAAGTAAAAAATTTCTGTCAGGAGTGATGCTCTTCAGGAAACAGTAGCAAAATCATATTGTGAAAACTCTATCCATATAAATGAATATATATATATATATCTATAATATACATAATATATATATATATATATATATCTTCCTGTGGTCCCTCTATTTTTTATAGACTGTACTATGACTATACCAAATACATTTTTTTATTGATAAATAATAGTTGTACATATTTTGGGGGCATATGTAATATTTTGATACCTTTAAACAATGTGTGTGCAGTGATCAAATTGGAGTAATTGGGACAGCTGTCACCTCAAAAGTTTATCTTTGTGTTGGGAACATTACAATTCTTTTTTAGCTATTTTGAAGTGTATAATAAATTATTGAATACTAGAACTTATTCCTTCTAACTGTATGTATATTTTTTTTATATAATTTTTTTGAGACAGAGTCTCGCTCTGTCACCCAGGCTGGAGTGCAGTGGTGTGGTCTCGGCTCACTGCATACTCCACCTCCCAGGTTCAAGCAATACGCTTGCCTCAGCCTCCTAAGTAGCTGGGATTACAGGTGGGCACCACCATCTTTGGCTAATTTTTGTATTTTTAGTAGAGACGGGGTTTCACCATGTTGATCAGGCTGGTCTCGAACTCCTGACCTCATGATCC